CTATCGCTGAAAGTGCTTAGAAATTATCTAATCTTTCCAAAAACTGTTGGTTTGGTAGTTTTGCGAATTAACGTAGCTTGACACTAAATTAATTGTTATAATTTTGCTGTGTTATTATTATTATTAAGTTAGTAATAAATTCGGTAATACGGAAAGTTAAATTCTAACTGTTATTTTGTAACCTCCTCTTCTGATAACATACTCATTAAACAGAAAGGTTTCTCATGTCTTCCATCAATTTGATAGTTGCATGATAATGACGTTACAAAATTTAATATGTATACAGCGTAACAATATTATTTTCAAAGAAGAATAAAAAGAAAAATTTAATTAAAATGTACGTTCACATATATGCACATAAATGCACATTCACATGCACGTTCACATATTTTTAATTTGTTGAAGCCCTCCGCGATGGAAATAAAATTCCATTTAATTTCAGTTTCACCAAATTTGTGTGGAGTTCGCGTAAATAATGTTTGCACGTATAAATGCAATGGAAAACAGTAACACAACCCGTTGAATAAAATTGACAGTGCATAGCTGAATCAAATTTATGTGAATAAAATGACAGTTTCGTTTAAATTTTTCTCCAAACAATCACAGAAGAGAACACAGATCGAAAATATTTTAAGAGGCAGATTCTTGTTCATGTATAGGGTGTTTACTTTATCCTGCACATTGAATTACTTTCGTCATTTTTGTAGATTTAAAAATTGTGTCAGGACAACATTGTTTAGTTCAAAGCTAAGAATATTATGATCTCTCTCTCTCTCTCTCTCCCTCTCTCTCCCTCCAATAAAAATATTTTATTTATTTCTTTTTATTTTCGAAAAGTTTGCTCTGTTTATCAAATGCATTATATCACATAAACGGAGACGTGAGACCCGCATGTTATGAAACACCCTGTATAAATTGTATTATACATAGACGAATGCACCCTCTAATATCGATTGTTTTATTGAAAAAATGATTCTCGTAATCCCAATATTTCATCATGTAGCCACAGGAAACCGACGAACTTTTGTTGTAAACATTTTCTTCATCAGATTAACAGAATTTACTTGCATTTCGTCGAATTATTATCTGTCGGATTTGACGGGGGCGAACCACCCCGGAGACCTCGCCGAAATATCCTATCCGCCTAAACGTCATTGTATCCATCTTCTCGCGCCGGTAACCTCGGTACAAAGCGCCGCCCCACCAATTTACACCGGGCAGCCATTCATTTTTGGAGGTCAACAGCTCCGCACATAGTCGCATTTACGCACCTGTATGTACTTAGTCTCCGTTCCATCCGATATCACTTTACGGCTCCACGATTCATTCGCCTCTATCCATCTCTGTATATATGGATGGTCTATATCTACACAGCTTGGCCGCGTCAGTTTTTTGCTAGCGGGGGAGAGGAAAATGTGGAATAACTGTATTTACGGGCGCGCAGCCGCTCGTGACTCTTCGAAAATCGAGCCAATCCCGGCGACGTACCGCTCGGAATGGCTCGCATCGTTCGTTTCTAGTGTCAAGGGTCTTATGGTCGGATATCCACACGTTTTTTTTCCACGATTTTGCGTTAATAGCAGCGCCCTGCGTCGCGCGAACTCGCCGGCGATAGCAACTCAACTGATCACTGATCAATCCGATTAACCCTAGAAAGATAACCATATGACAACGTACGTAAAAGATAACCATACGCTTCGGAGGCGCATGCTTTTCTAAGGCGTCAATTTTATACTAACAATGGATATTTATTTAAGTTAATCTAGTCATTTTAAAGGTTTGGCGTTATTGTAAAAATAAAATGCATTTATATTATATTTTTTTATATTTTAAGTAATTTTAAACTTAAATCACTAGACCTCTATGAAAAATTAACAAAAATCAACAGTCTTCGCAGGCGCCTCTGCGACGTAGGTTATCTTTCTCGGGTTAAAGGGGATGCGATCTTCCCTTCGGAGCGTTTTCCCGTCACTTCGCCGATTCGAAATTGTTTAGACGAAACAAATTGACTTTCTGTTGCAGCATCAATAATCGATTTGTAGAAAATTGGGAATGGATAGGGCTGTGGAAGCGATTACTAGCGTAAGTGTAGGTATTACCGAAGTTTCTCAGTGAAGGTGAACTTCGCGGCAGAGAAAATAAGACCTTTCACGCCAATAAATTGACAACTTAAGCTATACAGTCAATTTGCCCTAATCGACGCCCAGATTCTACACAAAAATGGATAATTTGGCAAGAGGATATATTCGGATTATTCGAGGATTATTCGAGGCTTGCGGCTCGATTTAAACATTGTTGACAATTGGTAACTATAAAAACGAGCTGCACGGCTCGAATACTCGTACCCTCTCTTCCCAATTATTCTTTAACGTGAATATCTACTTTTCTCAAAATATTGAATCTCTGAAAGCACACATTGGAAAGCGTAATATAAAGAAACCGTACGTGTGCACATATTACTGCGGTAATGTATCTATTACTGCGATCGGACGTTCCGATTACTGCGTGTTAAAAACTATGGACGTTCCGATTACTGAGTGCCAAATACTGTGGACTAATTATTATTGCGTGTAGAATAGTATGAGTGAGTAATACAATCATTTAATCTACCTAATGTGTTACTTATTGCAGGGTTTGATTCTAAAATTCCACTTTCTGGAATTAGATCTGAGAAAGTTTCCGGTAACAGATGCGGAATCTTATTTCTCAAACTGGAAAGTTGATTAGCAGGGTTCCCCGGTTGTCGTAAAAAGAAATGTGGTTTCAAGAAAAACGCATTTAAAGTTTCGACTTTGATAACCGAGCACCCTGGTTCGTTTTTTGCTGAGTATGTTTATGACTTCATTGCTCATCCGGTTTCCACATTAACCTTGCTTCATGAAACCAAACTATGAAAGAATTGTAGAGAAAATCCACTCTTTAATTGCAACACCAATGCTGAAATGCATCTATTATTCGAAAAATGGTACTTTCTTTTTATTGAA